TTCCAGCTCACAGAAGCCATACATGCAGCGTTGGACCAGCTGTAATTTTTATCCTGGAGGCAAAAATCACTGGAAATAATGCTTCATCACTCTGAAGGTCCTGACACCACCCTTAACCACCACATCACGAACCTCCTGTCGCAATTGTGATCTGCGTATGTGTCAAATCTTGCCTCGCAGATAAAAGCTGCTCCGCAGGCACCTTTTGTACTAAAATACGGAGCCTTTAAAATGTGAAAGAAACAACAAAATGTAGGACGCCACACAAAGCTGACCCACTGGGGACTGGGGGGGGAAGAAAAACCCGCAAGAAGGAGGGCTTGACATACAAAAATTGTTTTGTTAACAAAGCATCATTGTTCCACTCTGAATCGGTTTGACTGGAGTGGTAGAAACACCCCATCTGGAGACAGATGGAGAGTTTTCTGGCTAAAGAGACAGCGGGAGGAGGGCCGGCTGACAACCCAGCAGATAGCATTGTCTGCTGCCACCTTGGCAATGGAGAGGAGAAAGGGCAGGTGGCAGATTAGGTGTCCCCTGTGCCACCTGCCCAGCACGCCAGATCCCCCTGCACAGGGAGGTGCGTGCCCAGGTTGGCTGCTCACACCTTGGGATAATCCTCCTCTTTTCTTTCAGGGCTGGTTGGGTGTTCATAGGGACCAGCCAGGTGTCTGGGGAGGCTGCAAGCCACCAAGTTCCCCTCCAAGGTGCTCTTGGTGAGATGGTCCTGCTCCACTTGTGTGCTGTGGCAGGCCTTGTTGTGGTGTGGGTTTAGCAGCTCTGGGGGACCAAAGTACAAATCTCATCCCAGCATGAGTGTGGGAGGCTTGCTCCTCCTCTTGCATGGATTTTGCCACTAACTTCCAGGAGAGAGCAGGGTTTGGGCTGCTGGGATGATGCTGAGTGGAAACCAGCATGGTCAGAGCTGCAGGGAGCGAAACTGGTGGGAGCAGCAAGAGTTGATGCGATGCCAAAAACGCCCAGGGATGGGTCATGGGTGAGGTACTCAGGCTGACCCAGCAGGCCTCCAGGATGCCTGAGGGAGCTTGGATTGGCCTGACCACCTTGCTGAGTTTGGGAATGAGTGAGGAGAAATCTGTGTTGAATGCCCAGGGCCTTTGAGCTACAGCACAGGCTAAACGTGAGGTGTTTTATGGCATCAGGCTTTGCTCCTGAGAGCTCACCAACAGCCCCTGCTCCCTCTGCTGCCTTCCATGCCTGATGGGAAACTCCAGGGTGGCTAATGCTCCTGACAGAGCTTTGAGGGATCGTACCCTGCCCACCCCATCTGAATTCCTGATGACTTGCTAATTGCTTGACACAGTCTACTTGCAATGCAAGAGACAGGCTCACGTCATCCTCTGTGGTTTGCCAGGGGAGAGTGTGAACCTCTTTTTGACTTGCCTTGAAATAGATGAAAAAGAATAGAGCTCGATATGATTAATGTGAAAACTTCAGCTTGGTTTCCTGCCTTGGCATCTGGGCTTTGGTCTTCTTAGCATCACCGTGCCTTGTTTTTAGAGGATTGGCTGCACGTGGGAGCATCTGGGAGCTGATGGTGCTGGCTGTGCTGTGCTGGTCTGGGGGCTCCTCTGCAAGGTCTGTCCATAATCCCCAGCTGCCTGAGACATTCCAGGTTTGTGCAGCAGTCACGGAAGGATTCAGGTGGTTGCCTCGAGGCACTGCTGAGATAATACCTCAAGGGGCTTCTATTCAAACCCACTGAGGCCTTTACAGTTGCGTGGTGGAAATCTATTCAGATGCACCATGGCTTTTTGGGGAGCCAGATGAGCAGCCCAGCTCGGCCACTGGCTGTGGGCAGGTGGTCACCCATGCAGAGTGACCAGCACAGCTTTGATAAACCCTGCAAAACCATGTGGAAGGATTAAAAGAAAAGGTGGATTTGATCTTTGAGCCTCAGGGCTGCAGATGCAGCAGCGTGGTGGTGGCAAGGGGTGTCCTGATGCCTTGGTGTCCCCAGACACATCCAAAGTGTTCCCATGGGCTTGCAGAGCTGGGTTCAGTGTTGGCTTCCCTGCCTGGCTTACTGGGTTTATCTTCTGCATGCCCTCCTCTGGGATGGATCCCACCTGATCCGAGCAGTGCTGAGCTGGTCCAGAGGGACGCGGAGCAGGGAGGAGTGTGAGGGTGACAGGAAAGTCCGTGTCACATCCTGCTGTTCAATGCACGGGGTCCCTCCCCAGGTGTTTGCATCCGTTGTGGCACCACAGGTGACTTTGGGGTGAAGTGGCCTCGTGGGGGAGAAGATAATGGGGTCACGGAATGCAAGATGGAGTAGAACAGGATGGATCTATTCACCTGAGCTCTCCTACAGTGTGGTGTGGTTTTCCCAGGGGGAAGAGACTTGGACTTTGGAGAAACTAAATCTTTGGGCAGCCATCCCCTGCTTTTGCAGCCATTTGCCTTCCCTGGGCTGCTGGGGACACCGTTCCTACAGCCTGCTCCAAAAATCCGTCCTTTTGCTGTCTCGGATTTCGGCCCTGCTGCTGCACCAGCTGCACCGTGCTGGCAGGAGGGGAGAGGAGAGGAGAGGGAAGGTGAGGCAGGGCGGGCAGCTCTGCTGGTGCTGGCTGCTGTCACAGCACAGCGCCCTTGACGTGGCGGTGGGTGCCAGAAGCCAGCCGGGGCGCGGGCTCCACCGCCGGGCACTGCCTGCCCTGGGAGGAGGAGACAGGGTCTGGATTGCTGGTGATGCATCAAAGCATCCAGGAGTGAGGTCTGACACCTGCCTGGCAGCGGGTCAGGGTGCTGTTCTCTTTGCCCTGCTGCTTGGAAAGCAGAGTACTGCCCTGGGGAAGTGCCATCCACCCCATCTTTCACCTTGCTTTCCCCTGTGCAGAAAGGGGAGGCAAATCCGCATGGGAGCTCTCCCGGGAAGCGAAGGGGATGGATTCACCTTGCTGAGAGGCGAGGGAGACGCTGGGAAGGAGGTGCTGGGATGAGCGCAGAGCGGATGAATCTGTCGCCAGTGACCGGAGTGAAGGCGCCCGGGGAGGTCGGGGGCGTTGGGGCGGTGTTGTGCTGCTCTCTGCCTCCCTAAGGCCTCCTGCGCCGGGCTCTGTGAATCAGCATTTCTGCAGCAGGAACAAGGCAGGAGGATGGCAGGGCACCGGGAGCCTGGCAGGGAGGAGGATGGAGGGGACCTCATTAAAAAGGGGCAGCCTGTGAGTTGGGGGTGGTCTCATGCCGAGGCTCTGCAATCTGCTCCCTCCAGGTTTTTGCTGATTACACCCCCCGTGCACAGCAGCGAGGTAAAACAAGTGCTGGGAGCGATGCCTCCCCTTCCCACCCGGTGACAGGGAATGTGACAGGCTGGCACTGGGAGATGGCATGAAAGCGATGTGATCTGCCACAGCTCCTGAGCCGAGAACCTGGGGAGATCCAGTTACAGCAGCGGGGTTAGAACAAAAGAGATTTGCCTCCGGGATCAATTCCTCTCCATTTTCCGGGCTGTGCACGTGTGTGTGCGTGGAACAGCCTCGGTCTCTGCTGCACCGGCAGCCCAGGGCTCTGATGCTCTGGAATGCTGCTTTTTCCCAAAACAGGGAGAGCAGGGTAACCCCCTGGGACAGGCCTAGAAATAGCAAGGCCAGGCCAGGCTTTGCAGTGCTTGGAAATCAGGAGCCAAGCTGGGCAGCTGGTGGTTGCTGGAGCTCCAGCCTTTGCTCTGCCAAAGGTTGAGCTCTGGGCTGGGATGTGAGACCACCCCTGGTCCCCATGGTTTGCTCCCAAGGCATTTCCAGTGATGCCTCCTCCCCTCCATCATAAGGTTGGCCAGTGAGCAAAACCCCAATCCCTCAAAAGCAAGATACCAGGAAAACCTAGACTGGGCAAATGCACTTTTCTGCCCCATAATGGCTTTGCCAACACCACATTATCCGAGATGCCTTTAACCCGTGGCCTTGGTGGGGCTGGGGGAATCATGAGCCTTTCACGTGTGCTGCAGAGCCAGCTTGAGGAATCAGCAGGATCCTGCAATCCTGCACCCTGGGATGCTTGTGGCTGATTTGGGGGGGGGGGTTGGGTGGCTTATTTGGGGGTGGGGTTTTTTTGGCATATTGCCTTCTCCCAAATGCCGCCGGGGATGAGCCATGGAGAGCACAGATGTGCATCCCGAGCATACCACAACAAGGTTCCTGATTTAAGGACTGTGATTAACCTCTTTCAGACAGTTGCTAACCAGGTGCAGGATTGTAACGGGAAGAGGAGAAAGCTCAGTGAAAACAGCCACTTTTCCTCCGTCACCTGGAAATGCACACGGATGCCATTTTCTGCCTGGAAATCAGGCATATTTTAGGATTTCTAACGGGTGCAGGGACACCCTGTTTGTGTCAGTACTGAGCTGTAGCTGCTCCCCAGAGGCTGTCTCCTCCTTTCCTGCTTGGGATCCCACAAACAAGGCATGCTGGTGTGTGAGATCACGGGCCCCCTGGGGCTATGCATGCAGGGTTGCTAACAGGAAACCGGGCAGAAAATCACCCTGCATTTGCCCACTCCAGGTTTTCCTGGTGTCTTGCCCTTTGGAAAGCTGAGTATCCAGAGGAGAAGTGATATTTCACAGTTAGGCATGAAAAGGGGAACCATTGCAGCTTGTGTTTTGCAGGCAAGAGTTAAACCAGGAGCTGCCAAAGTTGCTCATTTTCAGGAAATCTGGTATCCGTGGGATTCAGGGCTCCTCTGGCCAGGACTACAAAAGCTGGAGAGGGACTCTTTCCAAGGGCATGGAGTGACAGGACAAGGGGGAATGGCTTCACATTGACAGTGGGCTGGGATTGATTGGATATTTGGAAGAAATTCTTCCCTGTGAGGGTGGTAAGGCCCTGGCACAGAGAAGCTGTGAATGCACCACCCCTTGAAGAGTCCAAGGCCAGGTTGGAAGGGGCTTGGAGCAACCTGGGATAGTGGAAGGTGTCCCTGCCCATGGCAGGGGTTTGGAACAAGATGGGCTTTAAGGTCCCTGCCAACCCAACCCATTCTGGGATTCCATGACTGTCACTGGCCTCCCAGGTCCGGGTTTCACGTGTGTCACTCATAAATGCTGTATCTCATCCCAAATACCCCTCTGGCATCATGGTGGGGTTTCAGACCAGCTTTGGAATTCCCTGTGCTGTGCTGTGTGTTCATGGATCACTTCCTGCACTGTGTTTTTTGGAGAGCCACGCTCTTACTGCTTTTCCAGCCCCTGGCTGGATGGTTTTAGGACCCCCTCATTGTACCTCCTCTCCTTTCCATCTTCCCATCTCTTCACTGCAAATCTCTGTATTTCTTCCCAAAGAAGAGGCTGCAGTCTGTGTTTCACACTGAGGCTCCAAACACTTTGCAGAGTCAAGAGCTGTTTCCTGGGGGAACAGCAGGGAGAGAGAGGGATGGGGGCACAGCAAGAGGGCATCCCCTAAAGTGGGTGAGTAGAATATAGGTTTGGGAAATCTGAAGAGACAGAAAAATGTATTAAAAACAATTAATAGCTGCTCCAACCAAGGATTTAACCTGAAACCAAAGCCTTAGGGAGGGAGGAAATGAAGTGGCGTATGATTGTTATTTTATTGCTTAATATTTTTTTTTTTTAAATATGATATGCTAAATGCAAATAAGCATTTGTACCAAGCAGGAGAGGGAGGGGATGGAAGACATGCCGGGAAAAGTGAGTGGGATCTAGGTTTTGCATCGTTCACTGAATTACTGGCAGGTCTTTTGTAACATCTGTTAAAAATAAAACAAACATTCATTTCCATTTCTCACTGCCTGAGATGGCTCCTGAAAAAAAATTTCAACCTGTCCAGGAATTCGTCTTGAAAGTTGCCCTCCCTCTCCTCACGCCTCCTCCAGGGGAGATTTCCTTCCTGGACTTCCCAGGGGCTCCATTAGCCCCACATTAAAGCCTTTCTACTTTGCTCTAAAACTCTCCATCGGAGTAAAAGGAATTCTAATAAACCACTGGGAAGACTCTGCTATTCACTCTTTCCATGGAAACACGGCGCTGCCTTGGAGCAGAGCTCCTCTCGATGGAGCCTGGGTCACGGCAGGAGGAGACCAAGGAGGGTTGCAGAGATGGTTTCCATTATAAGAGACCTTTTGAGAGAAATAATCGCTGCTCTCCCACCAAGGAAAGCCTTGGAGATGTCGGGGCCTCGGCACGGCGCGGGAGCGGGGCCGGCCTCGGAGGGGGTGCTGCTGGGAATGGGATCTGCTGGGCGCTGAGAAACTCATTAAAACATCTGATCAGTGGAAATTAAGGCACCCAGGAGTGATTCCTCCCTCTCAGTGGGAAGGTTGGGTCCAGCAGGGTGGGTGGACCCGTGCTGTAGGAAGAGGCTACACGAGGGGGCTCGGGGGACGTGGGGTACGGGGAGGGCACGGGGTCATGGGAGGACAGTGGTGGCTCCACGCCCAAGGCTGTGCTGCCCAGACCAAACATCACACCACAAAAATACATTTTTCAAGGCCAAAAAAAGCCTGTTTGCTCTGGGAGGGGATTTCTGGCTGTTCTCTGGGTCCCAGATGGGAGCTGGACAAGGAGGTCAGTGGATGGATCCCTACCTAAAGCCACTGTGATATAATTAATTTCCAGCCTCCTCGCAGGCACAGTCATCCCGAGTGTTGCTGTTCTGACACTATGCTGCAAGATGAAGGATTTTTTTTTTTTTTTTTTTAAGCGTGAGGAAGCTCGTTAGAAATAGCCCGAAGGGCAAAGTTAGGAAATGAAAATCCATCGGATCCGCTCGGAGCCGATGCACAGAGCTTGATGAGAGCTGGGGCAGGGCTGCTGCTCCTGCCTGCAAGCAGCCACCACACGTGTGGGGTGTGTGGCACCCCAGCCAGGGGACAAAAACCATCCGTTGGGATGGCTGGGAGTGGGGCTGAGGGAAAATCTGCCAGGAAGAGGGATGAAAGAAAGATGAATGGAAAAGAGCCAGCTTAGAGCAGCCTGTGTAGGTGCTGGGGAGGTCCTTGGACCCCAGGTTGGCCACTCATGTCAGGGCTGGATGAGGAGGCTGGTGGGAAAAGCAGTTTTCTCAGGATGCCTTATCATTTAGGTCGAAGTGGTGAGACACCAAGGGAGCTGGAGTGCCTTTGTTTTAGCAGCTCCAGAAATAACATTGCTGTGAGTCATTATTTTTTAGCCTCTCCAGGGCAGGAGGTGTGGGGTTAGGTCCAGGGAAGCCTCCAAAGGTGAGCCCTGCTCTCATGGCAGGGAAGATGGGAAAAGGCTTTTTGGTGCTGGTCGTGCTGTTTTGTGGTAGCTCAGGGTGAGATCTACTCCAGGATGCTCTGGATCTGGATTTTATCAAGGGGATGGAAACTTTTCAATCTGCACAACTGAGCAGCAGCATCCTCTGTGAGCTTGGAGGTTTTAATGAGTGAAGTTAATTGGTGTTATAGGTGGTGGTCTCCCACCCAGTCAGTGGTTTGGCTTAGATAGACATGACCGTGTCATGCAAACAGAGGTGATGTGGGTGTTGACGCCTCAGAAATGCTGAGAAGTCATGAAATCAGCCTCTTTGAACCCGTAAATCGTAGGTGCAGAGCTTTAAAGATTCCAGCAAAATAACAGTGTTTAGCAATCAAAGTGTTTGGTGGTGATTTAATTTGCATATGGGGCTCTCTGGGGTTTGTGGTTTCAACCTTTCCCCCCACCACAGTGAGGTCAGGGTTGGAGGAGAGCAGGGATGAGGTCTTCCTGAAATCACAGGACTCCTGGAGGTGGGAATTTCAAACATACCAGAGCTGGGAAATAACATGGACAGACCAGATTGTTGAATTTATTGGATTGTAGAGTAAAAATAACAAATCCTTTAGTCTTCTGTCAATCCCAGAGGAGAAGCTGGGGGTGACGTCCTTTGGGTCCATCCCACCTTGGCTTTACTAGGGTGGCAGTCACGGCTCGTGATGCCAAGCAATGCCAGGCTCTTGTGTGTGAAGGGCAGGGCAGATTGGTGATTATGGGGAATAACACCAAGTCCCTGGAGAGCCATGAGGTCCCAGCTTGATTTACCATCCTGCAGAGAGGCTTGTGTGAAGCTGGAGGTGGCTGGGAGCATATTGTGGTGTATTACCCACAAACAGCCAGACTGGGTCTGCCATGGGGATGGGGATGAGGATGAGGATGGGGAGGAAAAAGACAGGGGAGATGAGAACAAGCAGTCTGCTTTTGCAGGTGCTGTGTCCCCTTGTGAGGTCTGGTCTGGTTTGCAGCTTGATGGCTCCTATCTCGAGTAATTAACAGGGAAAAGAGAGGGCCTGGTTATCCATCCTTCAAGAGCAAGGGGTTGAATTGAAAGGCAGCGCCTTGGAAGTGGATCAAATAGCTCTCCAGCCCCCCGCGTACGGCTCGGAAACTTGCTGCCGTGCTGCGTTATCAAGGTGAACAGCTTTAGTTCAATTAACGAGAGGCTCAGAGCGGAGCCGGGGGAGGAGGCAGGGCTGGGGATTTGTGCCCTTCGGGCAGCAGCCGGAGCTCCGCGGCACCGAGCCGGTACCGACCCGGCACCGACCCGGCACCGACCCCGGTACCGACCCTGGCACCGATCCCGGCACCGACCCGGGCACCGACCCGGCACCGACCCCGGCACCGACCCGGGCACCGACCCCGGCACCGACCCGGCACGGGTGTCCCGGTGTGCCAAGACCACCACAGCTCTGCATCCCTTAGCGAGGGGACCAGCTCCCCCTCCTCGCCTCTGCGACGGGTTTTATTTATTTACCCCCTGGAAAAAATCGGTGTGTGTATGTATGTGTGTGTGTGTGTGGATGGATGGAAGGGTTGCTTCTTTGTTAGCACCTCCCTTTCCCCCTCCTGCTAATAATAAACCTCCCCAAAATCAATCGCTGCCAGCGATGATTGCCACCAGCTCACCGTGCACCTCCATCCCCGCAGATAATGGTGCTGGGAGCCAGCGCGCCTGGATTTTTCCTGCCGGTCGCTGCCTGGGCTGCAGCTGGCTCCGGCACGCAGAAAGCTGCAGGTGTGATTTGTTCATTTGCCTCCACCTCCCCCCTTTTCCCCCCTCCTGCTCCGCTTCCCTGCCGAGCCCACCTAGCTCATCCCACCCAGCTCATCGCGGCGGTCAGACCCGCATCCCACCCCGCGCCCACTCCGGCATCTCCCCGGTGCAGTGCTGGCGGAGGGTTGGGATGGCTGGGGCTGGAGAGAGTGTGTGCAGAGGGGAGAGGAGGGGGGGTTAATCTGATCCTACGAGGTTGGAAAAGGAAGAAAAAAAAAAATCAAAACTATAAAGAAGGCAGCAGCCTCCTCCTTTTCCTTCTCCCCCGCTCCAGAGGATTAAGCCTACAAAAAAAAAAAAAAAAAAAAAAAAAAAGAGAGAGAAAAAAATGTCTGCAGCTTTCTGTTGACCCTGCATGATGGCATTTTTGCGCTCTGTGTGCTGCCTCTGCTGATTGCTATTCCTGGCACAAACACACACACACACACGCACACACACACACACACACAGCCCCAGCACGGCTCACACGGGCACGGCGAGCCCACTCCAAAATACAAAAAAAAAAAAAAAAAAATACAAAAACAAAACAAAAAAAAGCCCAAACCCAACCCAAAGCGGTGCCGCTCGGTGTCCCTGGGCACCCTGGTCTCTGTCGGGAGAGCTGCCAGCACCCGCTGCCGCTCGCCCTCTCCTCCACCCCACTTCTCACCTCGGTCCCCAGCTCCAGCGAGCACTTTCTGCCGGAGCCGCCCGCAGCCAGAGCCCTCCACCACTCCTACCGCTGGCATTACATTTTCAGGCTGGATGCTATAGGGCCGTTTCTAATTACCTTATATCCCCTAGTGGTCTATGAATAATGGTTAGTGAAGGAGCTCAGAAGGGCTGCTGAGAAGGGAAGGAAAAAAAAAAAAAAAAAAGGGAGAATTGTGCTATTTCTCACATTTTTTTTTCTAAGGATCTAATCTGGCTACTGTGCTCTGGAAGAGGAGGAGAGCGAGCCAGCAGGAGAGAGAGGAGAGAGCGAGGACCATCGCAGGTATTGTTGCAAGCTACATCTTTGTGCTTTTTTTTCCTTTTTCTCCTTTTTTTTTTTTTTTTCCTTGAAGCCGCAGCAGAATTGGAAGGGAGGGCGTGAAGGTTGGTGGGGGGGGAGGCGGTGGGTGAGGGTGTGCGGACAGAGCTTTTTCCGGATTTATTTTTCTCTTGTGCAACTCGTGTGCTGCTGCGATTGAATGGATGCAGGGCGCCGGCATCGCGGAGTTTGGGGAGGGAGGGGGGATTATACGTGTGTGTGTGTGTGTGTTGTGTGTGCTGTGTGTGTGTCCTATTTGCAGCAGCAACGGAGGAGCCGGGGGGCGTGTGTGGGGGGGTTGTTTTGCTTTTCTGGAAGTAATAAAGAAATTTGCAACCGGTCCAAAAACCCCTCCTGACTTGCCGATTGATGGGTGTCTGAACAAAGATACAGCTGAGACTTGGAAATGTTTGTGTGTGGAAGGGGTGGATTTCGTTTTGCTTGTCCTGGATCCCTACTTTTGCAAAGTTAAAATAATAATGGGCACGGGGCTGTGAAAGCCTCTGCAGAGGGAAGTCTTCCCGGGAAGGCTTATTTAATTGAGGAGTTATGGATGTGCATGGTTTTATACTTCCAAAAGTTGCGGCGGTGCCGCGGGCGGGCGCCTGGCTCTCCTTGCCGTTGTCTGCACGTGAGAACGCTGACTTGATGGATTTTCTTTCTTTTATTCGGTGGCTGGCGGGGCAGGGAAAAATGGATCTAGCAGATAACCCAAGGAATCGTGGGGTTTGCACATCTGGCTGCGCCTTTGGAAAGCCCCTTGATGGGACTTTCACCTCCCGCTCCCATTCTCCCACGGCAAATTTTGCCTCCAAATCCTCCGGTGACATTAATAAACAAACAAACCAGGGAATAGCGGTGGAGCCCGGTGAGGGGGGCTCGGAGTGCTGCCCGGGGGTGGGGAACCGTGTGCTTTTGTTTTAAATAACGAAACGGCGATGATTGAAAACATATGAATAGGATGCAATGCAGAGCGGGTGTGTTACGGGGCGGGAGGGGGGGGAAGAGCTGGAAAACTGCTTATACGACAGAAGCAGAGCTTGAATGAGTGTGGTGAGATGAAAGGCGAGGGGTCCGTCCCTCGCCCGGCTGCGAGGGGGGGCGATTCCCAAAGGCAGAGGAATGATCTCGGGGTGGGGAAGCTCATTGAGGGAAAAAAAAAAACCCAAAAAACCAAAAAAAAACCCACCCAACCAACCTGAAGTATGTGATTACATCCCGTCCAACTTTGCCGGTTGCGGCGTTAATGGAGCTAATTGTCCTCAAAAAAAAAAATAATAAAAGCAGGGGGGAAATATGCCTGTGCGTGGATGGGGGGGAGATGTGCGGGGAGCAGAAGCGGGTCCCGAAATCCCAGCGGCTCCCCCAAAAGCGCCGCCGAGGTGGGGGATACCAAACGTGGCCGGATTGTGTTTATTTGGGCGGAAATAAAGATGGAGCAACTGCCCTGGGGAAGGCTGAAATCCCCCGGGGAAGGGCTCCGAAACCACGCCGGTGCTGCCCTTCGCTGCCTGCCCTGCCTGGCCTTGCTTTTGTGTTTGTTTGCTTGCGAGGAGGGGGAGAAGGGAGCTGGGGGGGCTGCGAAGGCGGGGAGAAGCCGTGAGGGCGGAGAGCCGATTTAAATTGGACTTAATGGATTCCCAGGGCAGCTCTTTTAGATGAAAGTCAAAATAAGAGCCAAAGTGAATCTCAGCAGACCTGTCTGTTGCATTAGAGATGCAGCCTTTCCTCTCCCTCCCTCCCTTTATTCTTTAAAAGAGAGGGGGAAGAAAAGTGTTATCCTTACGGAAGACGGCGTGGAGTTTCTCATTCCTATAATGCGAGCTCTAATTGAAGAACTTGCAGCCTCTTGGGAGAGTCTTTACTGATCGCTGCTTTTGTTATTCATGCCGCGCTCTGTTTGCTCGGGATTTTTTGTGGGGGGCTGATGCGAGTCTGGCTGCGCCGGGTGTGATGCTGTGTCCCCCCCAGGCTGGCTCCGTGGGCTGACAGCAGGTAGGACCCCCTGGTCCCCTCTTCTGGGGGTCTCACCGGGCTCCCCCGGGTAGGTTGTGCTGTGCTGGAGGAGGAGATGAGCAGAAAGCCCCCGGGAGCTGTCGGGGTGAGATGTGCAGCCTGGCTGCGGGTGGCTCTCGTCCTCACGGGACCCCCTGGGACGGGTCCTGCCCAGCGTGGCACACGGGAATGGGGGCACAGCAGGGTTCTGCCTCCTGCCTGTGCTCGCTGCAATGATTTCAGGCTGCCATGGAGTGCCACAAGCCTGCTTGGTGCAGAGGGCACAGCTCTTCTGTCTCACGGGGGTCTGTGCTGTCACCTGGAGGGGACATAGATGCTCTGCCCACCCAGGGTGAGGAGCGGGACACAGCCACTGAGCCTGTAGGACCTGTGCTGGGCAAGTTTCCCTTTTCTCCTGCCTTTTCTGTTGCTCAGGAATTCAGGGCTGTGCAGGGAGACTGGCAGATGGGGCTCCCCCCTTCGGAGGTCTCATCACTCCCCACTTCCCCTCCCAGCCCCCTCGGGTGGCCAGAGGAGTTGCTGGCCTGTGTCCCCAAGCCCTGTGTCCCCACGAGGTCCCATGGTGATGCTGCCCGTGGCAGTGGGCTGGAAAGCTCCTGGGGGGCAGGTCCTTGCTGTCCCTGTGTCCCTTTCCCAGCCTTGGGCACCCATTTGAACTACACTTGAGCTCTGCATGGATGAAAACAAGAGCCACGAGCCCCAGGGCTGCTGTCAGTGGCATTTGGTGGCTGTGGGGTGAGCGTGGCTGGGGAGGAGGAAGTGTGAGCAGGATGGGGCTCTGCCAGCCCATCGGCTTAGCAGGGAGGCAAAGCAGTTAACCTGGACATCTGATCTCCCCGGGAATTGTGTATTGACCCTGACAGCGATGCATCAGGAGCGACAGACTCTCCATCATCGATCCCTCTCCTCCCATCACCAGGTGTCGACACCGACAGCCGTGGAGCTGGCTTTAATTTCAGGCCCCTGTCTCCAGCACATAACACTTAGCCATGGTCCCAAGGTGCCACCAGGCTTTGCAAACAAACATCTCCACAGACAGGTGACCATCCCCATTTTGTGGCAGGGATGGCACTTGCTGTGGGTGGCCAGCTGAGCTGGGGGCAGGGTTGGCAAGGGACCATCCTAGGGCCATTGGGCAGGATGACATCTCAGCCTTTGATGGGGGATCCGGGATCACATGGAGTTCCTGCTTTGCCAGTCTTTGCTAGGAAAACCCTCTGATCTGGCACCCCTTGTGCCATCAGTGTTGAACAGCAGAGGATTTGCCCAAGCTGGGGTGTCCCAGTCCTTTTGCAGCCTGTTCTGGGTGACCTTATCTGGCCTGGATGTGTCTTGCCTTCCCCACCTTTAAAATGGCTACTGCCAAACCTGCTGGGTGGTCAGGTGTGTGTGCCACCCCACAGAGACCTGCTGGGGAGCGTGGTGTGTTTCCTGGGTGCCTTGATTTTGGGCAGGACGCCGGCACTGGCAGGGGCCGGCTGGCACGTCGCCTCTCCTCCTTCCCAGCATCTTGAGATTTCCGAGACGCACGCAGCCAAGCTGAGGCTGAAAAAGCTGCTTGTGGTTCAAGAGCATCTCCTCAACGGAGGAGAGAGGGAGGCTTTTCATTCCTCCCTTTCTTTTGGAGCTATCCAAGCTCCCCTCATCGGTGCAGGGGCTCTTCCTGCTCCCCCCTGCAAGGGAACGTTAAAAGCCAGGGGCAGCGGATATCTTGACACCCCGTCAATCTGAGCCTTTTACAGCAGCAGTCTCTGAAGGCTGGCACTGCTGCACAGAAGAAAACAAGTGAGAAGAGGGGGGGAGGCGAGAGCAAGCCTTTGCAGCCGGCAATCGATAATTGTGGTGTCACTCACTGCCTTGGAAGTTCCCGCATCCCCACGGTCGCTGGTGGGGGAGAAGGGGAGGGTGGGAGCTGGGCTCTGCCCCGCCAGCACTGGGCATGGGGCAGGGAGGGTGGCAGAGGGCGAGAGCCCAGCCCTGAGCAGGAGCCTCCCGCTGCATTACTCACCACTTGATGTAGCTTGAACCTTTCAACTCCCTCCCCTTGGGGATGGAGCGGGCTGGGCAGAAGGTGTTGACGGAAAATGCTCTCCTTTCTTAGCTTTGAGCGTTTTTATTCCCCTTTCCTTCTTTTTTGGTTTTTTTTTTTTTTCCTTCCTCACCTCTCTCTGTGTGAATTTTGGGCTTTAATAATCCCCCCCAAAATATAAAAGAAACCCAAAAAAACCCCCAACCCAGCTCCCCCTCATGTGTGTCTCCATCTTAGCAAAAGCCGAGGCAAAAGATCAAGGAATTCTTCCTTTTGTGCAGCTTTCAAGACCAAAGATGTGCCGGTGAAAAGGGGAGGCTCAGAGTACCAGGCACACACAAGTGTTAAAGGAGAGGCTTCCCTTTTGTCTCCAAGGCAATCAGCCGGTGAAGGGATCCACAAATTAATTAAAAATTGCTCTGTCTTGATTGAGTTATTCCTGCTCGCATCCCACCTGCCTATCAAAAGACTGGGAATGGCAGGAGGAAATTCCTATTTCTTTCCCAAACAGCTCAGACACGTACCACGGTCTGTCTCGCTTGCCTTTTATCCCAGGCAGCAAAGGAAATAAAAAAAAGAAAGGGCTGGCGCGGTATCCAAAGAGATCTCTCCCGGAGGATGCGTCCCCTCTCCTGCGCTAACAAATGCTGCGGTATTTGGACAATTTGGAAGAAAAATGAGCAGATTTACGTGTCAGGCATGGGCCAAATTGTAGTTGTAACTCCATGAAGTTGATGGAGATCCATCGGAGATTAATTTGGCCCCAGGTCTGGCGCTTGCTCCGCAGGGAATAGGCTGGATCTCTGCCTTGGTTGAAACAAGAGGTATTCAAATGGGTTTGTTGTGGCTGTGCTATGCCCAAGTGGTAGAGCCGAGCAAAAATCCCAACTGGTTGTATCCCCGGTGCCAAAGCACCATA